CCACCCACCCATCACCTCACACAATTCCCCACTCAACACTCACGCCCATCCACCCATCACCTCACACAATGCCCCAGTCAAAACTCACGCCCATCCACCCATCACATCACACAATGTCCCACTCAACACTCACGCCATCCACCCATCACCTCACACAATGCCCCACTCAAAACTCACGCCCATCCACCCATCACCTCACACAATGCCCACTCAAAACTCACGCCCATCCACCCATCACCTCACACAATGCCCCCTCAACACTCACGCCATCCACCCATCACCTTACACAATGCCCCACTCAACACTTACGCCACCCACCCATCACCTCACACAATGCCTCACTCAACACTCACGCCCATCCACCCCATCACCTCACACAATGCCCCACTCAACACTCACACCCACCCACCCATCACCTCACACAATGCCCCACTAAAACACTCACGACCATCCACCCATCACCTCACACAATGCCCCACTCAACACTCACGCCCATCCACCCATCACCTCACACAATGCCCCACTCAACACTCACGCCCATCCACCCATCACCTCACACAATGCCCCACTCAACACTCATGCCCATCCACCCATCACCTCACAAAATGCCTCACTCAACACTCACGCCATCCACCCATCACCTCACACAATGCCCCACTCAACACTCACGCCATCCACCCATCACCTCACACAATGCCCCACTCACCACTCACGCCCATCCACCCATCACCTCACACAATGCCCCACTCAACACTCACGCCCATCCACCCATCACCTCACACAATGCCCCACTCAACACTCACGCCATCCACCCATCACCTCACACAATGCCCCACTCAAAACTCACGCCCATCCACCCATCACCTCACACAATGCCCCACTCAACACTCACGCCATCCACCCATCACCTCAACACAATGCCCCACTCAACACTCACGCCACCCACCCATCACCTCACACAATGCCCCACTCAACACTCACGCCCATCCACCCGTCACCTCACACAATGCCCCACTCAACACTCACACCCACCCACCCATCACCTATCACACAATGCCCCACTCAACACTCACGCCCATCCACCCATCACCTCACACAATGCCCCACTCAACACTCACGCCATCCACCCATCACCTCACACAATGCCCCACTCAAAACTCACGCCCATCCACCCATCACCTAAACACAATGCCCCACTCAACACTCACGCCCATCCACGCATCACCTCACACAATGCCCCACTCAACACTCACGCCCATCCACCCATCACCTCACACAATGCCCCACTCAACACTCACACCACCCACCCATCACCTCACACAATGCCCCACTCAACACTCGCGCCCATCCACCCATCACCTCACACAATGCCCCACTCAACACTCACGCCCATCCACCCATCACCTCACACAATGCCCCACTCAAAAGTCACGCCATCCACCCTTTCACCTCACACAATGTCCCACTCAACACTCACGCCATCCACCCATCACCTCACACAATGCCCACTCAAAACTCACGCCCATCCACCCGTCACCTCACACAATGCCCCACTCAACACTCACGCCATCCACCCATCACCTCACACAATGCCCCACTCAACACTTACGCCACCCACCCATCACCTCACACAATGCCCCACTCAACACTCACGCCCATCCACCCATCACCTCACACAATGCCCCACTCAACACTCACACCACCCACCCATCACCTCACACAATGTCCCACTCAACACTCACGCCCATCCACCATCACCTCACACAATGCCCCACTCAACACTCACGCCATCCACCCATCACCTCACACAATGCCCCACTCAAAACTCACGCCCATCCACCCATCACCTCACACAAATGCCCCACTCAACACTCACGCCCATCCATGCATCACCTCACACAGTGCCCCACTCAACACTCATGCTCATCCACCCATCACCTCACACAATGCCCTATTCAACACTCACACCCACCCACCCATTACCTCACACAATGCCCCACTCAACACTCACGCCCATCCACCCATCACCTCACACAATGCCCTACTCAACACTCACGCTGTCCCCCATCACCTCACACAATGCCCCACTCAACACTCACGCCCATCACCCATCACCTCACACAATGCCCCACTCAACACTCATGCCCACCCACCCATCACTTCACACAATGCCCCACTCAAACACTCACGCCCATCCACCCATCACCTCACACAATGCTCCACTCAACACTCACGCCCATCCACGCATCACCTCACACAATGCCTCACTCAACACTCACGCCCACCCACCCATCACCTCACACAATGCCCCACTCAACACTCACGCCCATCCACCCATCACCTCACACAATGCCCTACTCAACACTCACGCCCATCCACCCATCACCTCACACAATGTCCCACTCAACACTCACGCCCATCCACCCATCACCTCACACAATGTCTCACTCAACACTCACGCCATCCACCCATCACCTCACACAATGCCCCACTCAACACTCACGCCCATCCACCCATCACCTCACACAATGCCCCACTCAACACTCACGCCCACCCACCCATCACCTCACACAATGCCCCACTCAACACTCACGCCCATCCACCCATCACCCCCACACAATGCCCCACTCAACACTCGCGCTATCCACCCATCACCTCACACAATGCCCCCCTCAACACTCACGCCCATCCATGCATCACCTCACACAATGCCCCACTCAACACTCACGCCACCCGCCCATCACCTCACACAATGCCCCACTCAACACTCACGCCCATCCACCCATCACCTCACACAATGCCCCCACTCAACACTCACGCCCATCCACCCATCACCTCACACAATGCCCCACTCAACACTCACGCCCATCCACCTATCACCTCACACAATGCCCCACTCAACACTCACGCCCATCCACCATCACCTCACACAATGCCCCACTCAACACTCCTACCCACCCACTTATCACCTCACACAATGCCCCACTCAACACTCATACCCACCCACTCATCACCTCACACAATGCCCCACTCAACACTCATACCCACCCACTTATCACCTCACACAATGCCCCACTCAACACACAACATTCACACAACTTAGATAATGGCAGCTCACACCGAACATACAGGTGGCCTTGTATTATTCTTGTAACAACATCAAAACACTGAACATTGCACAAAAAGCCATAATGCAAGACATGTTATACATTTTTATATAGTATCTGTAAACTTTATAAACAGAATAATAGCACAACTCGGATCATTCTTAATTATACAGAGTCCATGATACAGCTGCCCTGTACATCGCCACCGAAAAACAACATTTCCATTGAATGATAAAAGCAAAATACAACGTACACTTCTCATGCATCTCTAAGTCTCTACAGTGAAAAAACTTAGTATAGCTGTAGTTGTAAGACACCCCCAAAATGCCCTACATGTAACACACAACATACATACTATAACATTTATTAGCCATATCTGTTCATATTTTCGGCGTGTACCATGTCGTGATAAACCTCTTAATTATATAACAAGACCATGGATTATATAATTCAAAACAAAAGAAAAACCTTTCACACTAATAGAAGGCATGTTATCACCCTACCATAATCCCATACGCCCCACCTCCATCCATTCACACTTTCGCGAAAAGCCTTCGAGCACTCACACCATCACCACTTTAAGTTGTGCGAAGTCCTGAACCAGTAACAAAACCCTCAGCATATCTTCATATTCGATTAACTCCTTGCCGCCCCACCATTTCCGCACATCACCCATCACCTTCCCCACTCTAACCCCTCTTTCCCCTCCAGCCATGACGAAGCTCTGTTTTACATATAGGGCTTTCACCCTCGGCCACAACACTAAAAGGCCCACACCTCCGCTGCATACATGGGACATCACCACCTCCTTACTTAACCATGCCCTCCCAAAACCCCAGACATAACGTAATACCCTACGCTGAATCTCCTGCACGTCTTGTGTCCTCAAAGGATACACTTCAGTCACACTTCACACTTTACTGTAAACAAGCGAATTAACTATTACGACCCTCTGCTGTAAGGTGACATCTCCTGCCCATAAACCCTGTAACCTACTCAATGCTTTCTCCACCGCCCATTCTGAGCTTACCTTTCTGGCCTCCTGCACATCCGCCATGTATATTACCCCACAGATCTTTAGCCTATCCACCAGTGCCCACCCAAACTCCAACCCCAAATATCCCTCCTAAGAACTCACCTCCAATAAACTCGATTTTGCCCTATTTACACGCATGCCCGTCGCCTCCCCAAAAAGCTCCAACATCCTTCCCACGGTACGCAAACCCTCTACCCCGTCTATCAGGACCGTGTTGTCATCCACATACCCCACTATACCTATACAACCGTCCCTCTCCCCCTGTAACATCCCCCCCCCCGTCCTTCTACTAGCCCATAAAACGGATTCTGCATACACGCAAACAGTATTTGAGAAAGCGGGCACCTGTGCCTCAAACCCCTCTCCATGTTAACCAGCCTCCCCAACTTACCATTGACTTGAACCCGCACAATTGCCGATGAGTACAGTGTATCAACCCACCGCACAACCCCTTCCCCCAAAACCCTGACACAACAAACTAGCCCTCAAAAATTTCCTATCCACACAGTCGTATGCATTCTCCCAATCAAGACCCAAAAGTCCTCCCCCCCTTGCAACTCTCCAAAAAATCCCTTATGCACCCATGACCATCTCTCATACTTCTCCCCGGTATGCCCATTTGACCTCTATGTATAACTGCCCCTATAACCTTCTTCATCCTATTGCCTAAAATCTTCGCAAAATTCCCATGATTACGATATGTTCATAATATAATAAGAATGGGTAGGGGCTTATTTTACCACAGGGAAATTGGAAGACCAGTTTCACTTCAGAGTGATTATCTCTTATTCTCAGTTTCTGTATGATTCCTACGCTTTAGCACCTACCTATGAGCACATTGGTATATGGGCACTCACCTGACAAGAATCACGGCCACCTTCAGGAAAACCTGCACAGATCATGGAATCTCTGATGGGTTGGTCGTAGACTTCATCACAGTCACTGTTGGACCAGACAGGCAGCTCCACTTTCTGCAGAACCGATGAAAGTGGTCCTTGATACCTGATGGCTCCCCAACCTGTGTAGAGGCAGAGCTTAAGTCACTCTCAGTTCTCTCCCTCTATTTCTCTTTTTTTTAACATACGGTTTAACAAGGTTAGGGTAAGGGTTCCTTGCTTTATTTACAAGCTAAGAGTTGTTACCTACATCAGCTCATTTGAAAGCCTTTTTAATGTTGTGAGACATGGAAATAGGGAAGAGGATGAAGCTGGAGCCATCTGTGGGCCACCATTTTCATTTGATAAACTGACTTTATTTCGTTGATATCATTATGCTGCATGAACATGTTCCAGACTCGAGTCATACTGGGAATAAATGATCTCAGATGAAGTGATGTTCTGGAGATGGGAACAGACAGAGTGAAGTTCCTGCTTGCTGCCCGTCTTGTTGTGTAGAAGCTCACTTTTTGCTGTCCTCGGAGTGGAGGCAAGTGTGGTACTTGGACTATACTGGCCATGTACATAACAGTAAGGCCTTCCACATCCCTCCAGTGTTGAAGGCTCTGTTGAAATGACAGATCCATCTAGGCTAGGCCCAGGCGAGGATTGAGGCGTCTTCCTCTGTTGTCTACTCTGCCAAGCAGTCGCAGATGACATGGGGGCAGGCAATCCAAGAAAGAGGAGCATACTCAAGGTATGAGCGTAGTTGTGCCTCGTTCAGAATCTTGCAGCCACTACTGTCGAGCAGATGATCCTTCAAAGTGATGTAAGCTTCTTGGCAGCCTTGTTTGTGAGGTTTGTGAGGTTTCCTGAACACAAAACTCAGGCTGCCACTGGTGAAGTTTCCTGAACTCAAAACTCAGGCTGCCACTGGAGTTTACCTGGAGAGAGTTCCGGGGGTCAACGCCCCCGCGGCCCGGTCTGAGACCAGGCCTCCTATTGGATCAGAGCCTGATCAACCAGGCTGTTGCTGCTGGCTGCACGCAAACCAACATATGAGCTACAGCCCGGCTGATCCGGAACTGACTTTAGGTGCTTGTCCAGTGCCAGCTTGAAGACTGCCAGGGGTCTGTTGGTAATCCCCCTTATGTGTGCTGGGAGGCAGTTGAACAGTCTCGGGCCCCTGACACTTATTGTATGGTCTCTTAACGTGCTAGTGACACCCCTGCTTTTCATTGGGGGGGTGGTGCATCGTCTGCCAAGTCTTTTGCTTTCGTAGTGAGTGATTTTCGTGTGCAAGTTCGGTACTAGTCCCTCTAGGATTTTCCAGGTGTATATAATCATGTATCTCTCCCTCCTGCGTTCCAGGGAATACAGGTTTAGGAACCTCAAGCGCTCCCAATAATTGAGGTGTTTTATCTCCGTTATGCGCGCCGTGAAAGTTCTCTGTACATTTTCTAGGTCGGCAATTTCACCTGCCTTGAAAGGTGCTGTTAGTGTGCTGGTGAGGTTTCCTGAATACAAGTCTCAGGCTGACACTGGTGAGGTTTCCTGAACTCAAAACTCAGGCTGCCACTGGTGAGGTTTCCTGAACACAAGACTCGGCTGACACTGGTGAGGTTTCCTCATTGCAAGATTCAGGCTGACACTGGTGAGGTTTCCTTAACACAAATCTCAGGCTGACACTGATGAGGCTTCCTCATTGCAAGACTCAGGCTGACACTGGTGAGGTTTCCTTAACACAAATCTCAGGCTGCCACTGGTGAGGTTTCCTGAACACAAGACTCAGGCTGACACTGGTGAGGTTTCCTGAACACAAGACTCAGGCTGACACTGGTGAGGTTTCCTAAACACAATATTCATGCTAACACTAGTGAGGTTTCCTGAACACAAGACTCAGGCTGACACTGGCTGACATTAAGTCTAGTTTAAAATTTTATTCAATAAATAATGATATATATTTTTTTACAATAACTAGGGATGCCAAGCCCATGATGACACTCTTCAGGTCACTTGTTCTATCTAGGCTGGAATATTGCTGCACACTAACAGCCCCTTTCAAGGCAGGTGAAATTGCTGACCTAGAAAATGTGCAGAGAACCTTCACGGCATGCATAACGGAGATAAAACACCTCAATTACTGGGAGCGCTTAAAGTTCCTGAACCTGTATTCCCTGGAACGCAGGCGGGAGAGATACATGATTATATACACTTGGAAAATCCTAGAGGGACTAGTACCGAACATGCACACGAAAATCACTCCTTACGAAAGTAAAAGACTTGGCAGACGATGCAACATCCCCCCCAATGAAAAGCAGGGGTGTCACTAGCACGTTAAGAGACAATACAATAAGTGTCTGGGGCTCCAAGACTGTTCAACTGCCTCCCAGCATACATAAGAGGGATTACCAATAGACCCCTGGCTTTCTTCAAGCAAGCACTGGACAAGCACCTAAAGTCAGTACCTGACCAGCCAGGCTGTGGCTCATATGTTGGATTGTGTGCAACCAGCAGTAACAGCCTGGTTGATCAGGCCGTGATCCACTATGAGGCCTGGTTACAGACCGGGCTGTGGGGGCGTTGACCCTCAGAACTCTCTCCAGGTAAACTCCATGTAACTAAAGAAAGCTTATTGTGATGCACTTCACAATATTATTAAGGAACAATCTATAATTTTGATGATAACCCAGAAGTTTAGTCCGTGTTGGTGCAGATTTGAGATTTTATTGAAATACAGTAGGCCGTCATAACAACGGTAGTTACGTTCCTGAAAACGCCGTTATAGTTAAAACCGTGTTAGACAAACTGAAGAAATTATGGGAAAAATAAGGTTACGTTCCTGGGAGCCCCCCAAAAAAAAACCAAACAACTTTTTTTAGACCAACAGATCTTACAAAAATAAACTGAATATGTAATTGTAGTTCATTGTCGTGATATATTATTGCTTAAGACTACAAATGCAACAGAATTAATAGTATTTCTTACCTTAAATTGTGGGTAATGGTGTTTGTGGATGATTGTGAAGAGAGTGAATATGCATGGTGTGGCTCTACTAGGCTGAGGTGGATGGTTGTTGGTTGTCAGCAGAAGTGGATGGTAGAGGTTCTGGTACTAAAGTCGATGGTTGTATTGGAGTGTGCATAAATTCTGTAATGATTTCGGTGCTCTTTTACCCTGCAGTACATTACACAGCTGATGGTAAGGAATCATCAGCTGGTCTAGACACCAATTCAAAGCACTGCTTCTAGATTTGTCAGGGTCTTCTTCAGTGAAAAAGTCTGCAAGTTTACCAATAATATGAAACTGCTCATATAACTGCTGCAATGTTGAATTTTTTTCTTCATCTTCTTCTGTTATGCGGCTCCCTTGTATCTGTTTCTGTTATATGACTCCCTTGTATCTGTTTCTGTTATGTGACTCCCTTGTATCTGTGCATCGAGTTCTGCCAACATTTCCACTGGACTCCCCGATCCAGTGACTGTACTAGAGATGTTGTATTTGGAGGTAAAAATACAACTTTTACATGTGGGGGTCACATCCAGCAAAGCTTGTGGATGAGTACGGGAATTATCAAGAATTAAGAGAGCCTTGAATGCAAGGTTCTTGCTGTGCAGGTAAAACTTGACTACAGGAATAAAGTGATGCTTAAATCAGTCATTAAATATTTCCTCTGTCATCCATGCTGACTGGTTTGACCTCCAAATTACTGTAAAGTGTTTCTATCTACACCTTTCAAAGCGTGAGGATTCTTAGAGCGGTAAATAACCATGGGCTTACACTTCAAATCACCTGATGCATTACCACAAAGGAGCAAGGTGAAGTAATCCTTTGCTGTCTTGAAGCCTGGTGCAATTTTCTCTTGCTGACTGATCTAAGTTCGCATTGGCATTTTCTACCAAAAAACACTTGTCTCGTCAGCATTAAACACTTGATGTGGCTCATAGTCACCCTCAGAAATAATTTCCTGCAATCCAGCAGGGAAATTACTTGCTGCTGTACGATCAGCTGAAGCAATTTCATCAGAAAACTTAATATTATGTAACTTTCTATGCAACTTAAAGTTGTGGAACCAGCCTGTGCTAAACATTCACCCTTTTTCAGGTTTTCCTTCCTTATCACACACTGCATTAAACAACTGTAAGGTCTTTTACCAAATTAAGATGAAATTTATTGGTGCATAGTGTATCCCGCGGGCGACACGCACTCCAAAGTTTTTCCCTTCTGCAAATGAAGTGTTATACAAAAATATGCCGCAATTCTTCAATAGTGCTATAACCAAAATGTGCCAAACAAAACCGTGCTAAACTACTGTCTACTGCATTAATAAAAACTTGGAATCAGATCAATTACTGGAGAATGCCTTTTTTGATCGGCTTCTAACTTTTACAAGTAGTGGGCGTTATAAAACTACACAGTCACTCGTTTTCAACTGTGTAAATTTCAATTTGCCATTTTTATTAAGCAAAATGTTTCTCGTGGTGTATCTCATCAAGAAGCATCTTTTAATTAATTAAATTTGAATCATATGGGTGCCAATTTGAAATTTTTTTTGTTAATTTTATCAGACTGGATTTTCTTAAAAATCCAAATTTAATATTTTTTGCAGATAATAATGTTTGATCCAAGGAAGGGTAGGATACCTCCAGTTCTCTGACTCAAGAGCCCTCTATCAGCAACTATCTATCCTACAAAGCTCCAGGATAAATGGAATAGCTTACCTACAACAGTGACAATATCCCCGGTGAACGAAATGTTGGGAGGAGGGAGGCAGATGGGTCGGACATAGCTGGAGTAAACGACAGGTCGCTCCAGCACCAGCAGAGCAATGTCGTTGCTAAAGGTATTACTGTCGAAGTCAGGGTGTAGGCGGAAGTCTGCTACCCGTATGTTCACATGCTGTGACTCTCCCTCCCTGCTGAAGTCATGCTCCCCAACTCGTACCCAGATGGTCCTCTGGTCAAACCTGCCACACACAAAGTACGCTGCATCCAACCCATCCATAGTTTGTTACATCTGTTTCTTGCAAGATTACCAACGTCAGTTTCTAAACGCTTCCCACAAAATGTAAATGTTATTTACTTTAGGTTACATTAATTTTAATAACAAGAACAACTATTTTCTCGGATTAATAATACCAGCGAGTTAATAACCCAGGGGAAGCCAAGAACACAGAGCAATAAATATTATTGTCTGTGTTATTCTTTGGTCTCTGCCTGTCTGTTACATTCTTTGGTCTCTGCCTGTCTGTTACATTCTTTGGTCTCTGCCTGTCTGTTACATTCTTTGGTCTCTGCCTGTCTGTTACATTCTTTGGTCTCTGCCTGTCTGTTACATTCTTTGGTCTCTGCCTGTCTGTTACATTCTTTGGTCTCTGCCTGTCTGTTACATTCTTTGGTCTCTGCCTGTCTGTTACATTCTTTGGTCTCTGCCTGTCTGTTACATTCTTTGGTCTCTGCCTGTCTGTTACATTCTTTGGTCTCTGCCTGTCTGTTACATTCTTTGGTCTCTGCCTGTCTGTTACATTCTTTGGTCTCTGCCTGTCTGTTACATTCTTTGGTCTCTGCCTGTCTGTTACATTCTTTGGTCTCTGCCTGTCTGTTACATTCTTTGGTCTCTGCCTGTCTGTTACATTCTTTGGTCTTTGCCTGTCTGTTACATTCTTTGATCTCTGACTGTCTGTTACATTCTTTGGTCTCTTCCTGTCTGTTACATTCTTTGATCTCTGCCTGTCTGTTACATTCTTTGGTCTCTGCCTGTCTGTTACATTCTTTGGTATCTGCCTGTCTGTTACATTCTTTGGTCTCTGCCTGTCTGTTACATTCTTTGGTATCTGCCTGTCTGTTACATTCTTTGGTCTCTGCCTGTCTGTTACATTCTTTGGTATCTGCCTGTCTGTTACATTCTTTGGTCTCTGCCTGTCTGTTACATTCTTTGGTCTCTGCCTGTCTGTTACATTCTTTGGTCTCTGCCTGTCTGTTACATTCTTTGGTCTCTGCATGTCTGTTACATTCTTTGGTCTCTGCCTGTCTGTTGCATTCTTTGGTCTCTGCCTGTCTGTTACATTCTTTGGTCTCTGTCTGTCACATTCTTTGGTCTCTGCCTGTCTGTTACATTCTTTGGTCTCTGCCTGTGTGTTACATTCTTTGGTCTCTGCCTTTCTGTTACATTCTTTCTCTCTGTCTGTCTTAGGGGATAGAAGTCTGCTACTCTTTCAGTTTATTGTTTCCTGTCTCCACTTACCTTCCTCATGGAACAAAACTTCCTGCCAGCGTCACTGGAACAAGGACACTTACCCATCAAGACAGTGGGCAGCGGTGTAGACATAGGTGCCCACAGTACACTTACCCAGCGAGGCAGTGAGTGGCAGTGAGGACATGGGTACTGGAAAGTACATTTTCCCATCAAGGCATTGGGCAGGGGTGAGGACATGGGTACAGGGTAATACACTTACCCATCAAGGCATTGGGCGGCGGTGAGGACATGGGTACTGGATAATACACTTACCCATCAATGCAGTGGGCAGCGGTGAGGACATGGGTGTTGGAGAGCAGTACTCCTGCACAGTACTGGTGTGGGGTGGCTCCCGTTCTGAGAAGAGACACCACCCACGGGAACTCTCCAGGAACAGTGCTCACCCCACCAACGATCCTCACACTGGTCACGAAACTCACTCCACACTCTGTACATAAAGGTAATGAGTACGTTGGAATGTACACCCACCCACACACACACACACACACACATACACACACACACACACAGATACAGACACAGACACACACACACACACACACATCACCGGAGGCACACATCAACCAAATAACTGCTGCAGCATACGGGCGCCTGGCAAACCTGAGAATAGCGTTCCGATACCTTAATAAGGAATCGTTCAAGACACTGTACACTGTGTATGTTAGGCCCATTCTGGAGTATGCAGCACCAGTCTGGAACCCACACCTGGTCAAGCACGTCAAGAAGTTAGAGAAAGTACAAAGGTTTGCAACAAGGCTAGTCCCAGAGCTCAGGGGAATGTCGTACGAGGAAAGGTTGAGGGAAATCGGACTGACGACACTGGAGGACAGAAGGGTCAGGGGAGACATGATAATGACATACAAGATACTGCGGGGAATAGACAAGGTGGACAGAGATAGGATGTTCCAGAGAGGGGACACAGGGATAAGGGGTCACAACTGGAAGCTGAAGACTCAGACGAGTCACAGGGACGTTAGGAAGTATTTCTTCAGTCATAGAGTTGCCAGGAAGTGGAATAGCCTAGCAAGTGAAGTGATGGAGGCAGGAACCATACATAGTTTTAAGAAGAGGTATGATACAGCTCAGGAAGCAGAGAGAGAGAGGACCTAGTAGCGATCAGTGAAGAGGCGGGGCCAGGAGCTGAGTCTCGACCCCTGCAACCACAATTAGGTGAGCACACACACACACACACACACACACACACACACACACAACACACACACACACACACACACACACATGCACGCGCACACACACACACACACACACACACACACACACACACACACACACACACACACACACACACACACACACACACACACACACACACACACACACACACACACACACACAGGAATCATTCAGGACCCTGTACACCGTGTACGTTAGGCCCATATTGGAGTATGAGGCACCAGTTTGGAACCCATACCTAGCCAAGCACGTAAAGAAACTAGAGAAAGTGCAAAGGTTTGCAACAAGACTAGTCCCAGAGCTAAGAGGTATGTCCTACGAGGAGAGGTTAAGGGAAATCAACCTGACGACACTGGAGGACAGGAGAGATAGGGGGGACATGATAACGACATACAAAATACTGAGAGGAATTGACAAGGTGGACAAAGACAGGATGTTCCAGAGATTGGACACAGTAACAAGGGGACACAGTTGGAAGTTGAAGACACAGATGAATCACAGGGATGTTAGGAAGTATTTCTTCAGCCACAGAGTAGTCAGTAAGTGGAATAGTTTGGGAAGCGATGTAGTGGAGGCAGGATCCATACATAGCTTTAAGCAGATGTATGATAAAGATGTATAAAGGGCGGGGCCCAGGAGTCGGATCGACCCCCAAACCCTAAAACTAGGTGGTAAATAGGTGAGTATCACACACACCACCACACACAAAAACCACACACACCCAACACACCCCCAAACCGCTCCCCCTAGCCCCCCTTTCCCCCCCCCGACCATAGTTATTGAAAAAAAAAGTAAAGGTTTGGTCACGAACGCAGAGGGAAAAAAACGAGTAGTGGAATGAAAAAATAAAGGGAAAATGTCCCCAGACATCGTGGGGTTACAGAAACAAAATCACTGGGAAAATAAAACGATGAAATTTCCCCCCCATATTCAACCCTGAGGAAGGGAAATAAAAGGGACAGGGGGAGGAGGGGTTGACTATAATTTAAAAAACCCGGGGGGGGTTTATAAGAAATGGAAGGAATGGAAGGTTTGGAGAAAAAGTTTCCATAATAAGTACTTTTTCAGTCAGAGGAACAAAGGACTCATTGCGGGATGTATAATCCACCCAAAACTGAGGATTTGGCCCCAAGAGGGAAATGATGAGTCAACAGAGCAATGGTGCAACACTAGCTGAGGTGGCAGAGGGCCACTCAAGTAGAGCGAAGTTACGGGGTCATAGGTGACTTAAATCACGGGATTTGACTGCAAAAACCCTGGAGCCACTGGGGGTCCAAAAACTGGAGAGCCAAAGAGAGGATGTGGTGTGGCAAATTCAGCACCTGTTGGGGACCTACCAAAGAGAGGGTGAGGATGAACCAGCGGGGATGGCCCTTGTTTTTCCCGAGTGTCGCCATTGGACATCACATATGAAAGGCCTTGGAGTGTGACACAGGGTTTATGAGCTTTAAATAATCATGGAGCAAAAGGGGGAGGAAAACAGGAGTAAAAAGGGAAAAAAGCTAAATATAAAGGGGGGGCTACACAGGAATGAAAAACCTTCCTGCAGGAGATTCGTTAAAACGGGGTTTGGGTAGGAAAATCGTAAAAAAATGATGGGCTTTGTAAACACCAAATGAAGGAGGCGAGGAAAGGTTTTTTCCCCAAGGGTAACAAAATAATGGGAAGGACAGAACGAGCCTTGGGTTTTCCCAAAGGTGTAGGGGGCAAAAACTAAGGCTCTAGAGAAGGAAAAAAAGAAAGAAGGCAAAGGGATAGGAAAATAAAGAGATTAGTCGACGAGACAAAACAAAAATGCAAGAAAAGGGGGAGGCACACCCGCAGTATGAAAATGATATGCATCGAAAGTCATGTCTGCCCGAAATTACTCTACAGCCACATAGGAGGAAGACAACAGCCAAGGACGGGTAACAGGTGGGAAAAAAGGTGGGGAGCTCCAAGAAACGCCCGGAAGTAGTGAGGGTCAACATGAGATTTAAGGAAGCTTTTTCAGTGGAGGCTGAAGGAACCTGGGAAGACAAAACAGTGGGGTACATCAAAAGGGAAAAACAGCAAGGTTTTGGGATGTTACACAAAACTGAGGAGGAGGTGGAGAAGCTCCAAGTGACCTTGATCCTCAAAGGGTGGGCCCGGAAACATCTCCCAGGGCCCTTTAGAGAGGGAGCAGAGAACTAAGTCAAAACCCAAAATTTTCAACACTTCCCTGAAACTGGCAACCCCTGAAGTTGGAAAAAGGCAAATGTAGCCCCATCTTTAAGAAAGGGGACAGCAATGAAGCCTATATTATGACCGTGTTATGCGTGTATAGTATGCAAAAGTTTTGGGAAAAAGATTTCAGGGGAAGTGGGGGACACTGGAGCAGAAAAAGTTTTAAAAATGCACCCAAACAGGTTCATGGAAGCAAATCCTGTGTCACAAAACCTACTAGAGTTTTATGAAAGGCAATTTAAGTAAGAAGAGAGGGGGGGTGGGTTGATTTTTCATTTTTTGGATTGCAAGAAGGGCCCTTTGATACGTTCCCCACAAGAGATTAGTACAGAAGTTAGGAACAGGGTGTATAAACAGGAAAGGGCATGCAATGGATCGGAAATTAACAGGGAGGCAACAGGAGTCATGGCCGTGATGAGGTGTCACAGTGGGTGCCGGTGACGAGCGGGTCCACAGGGGTCAGTCCCGGGACCCGTGCTATTCTTGGTATATGTGAAAAAAAGCATGGCGGAAGGGATAGACCCCGAAAAATGCCCGTTTTCAGAGTGAAGTTATGAGGAGAATTTTATCAGGCAAGCCCGGGGCAGGGCTACAAAGAGACCTGGACGGGGATGCATGGTCCCGAAATTGGTTCCTGAATTTAACCCCGCGAAATGCAAAGTCATGAAGATCGGGGGGGCAAAAAAAGACCCAGACGGTATAGGTAGGAGGCAAAGGGGTGCAAACCTCACTCAAGGAGAAAAAAACCTAGGAGGGTATAATACGAGTACACGCCAAAAACATATTACCCAGTAAATGCTGCGGCATTTTGGGGGCTTGGCAAACTGAGATAGCGTTCCGGTACCTCTGAAGGAAACGTTAAGCTTTTCAAGTGTAGTCAGGCCCCTACTGGGTTTTGCAGCCCAGTTTGGGAAAAACACCTGGTCAAACACGTCAAGAAATTGGAAAATGAAAAGGTCTGCAGCAAGGCCCGTTCCCGAGCTAAGGCGAATGTCCTATGAAGAAAAAATTGGGGAAAACGGTTGACGAACTGGAGCACAGGGAGAGCGGGGAGAATGAAAACGAATCAAGTTTTGCGGGGAATAGACAAGGTGGCAAAATAGGATGTTCCCGGAGGGACACGAGACAAGGGTCACAGTTGGAAACTGAAGATCAGAGAGTCAAGGGATGTTAGGAAGTATTTTTTAGTCATGGTAGTTATGAAGTGGAACATCTGGCACGCGAGTTGTGGAGGGGAAACTTACATAGTTTTAGACGAGGTATGAAAGGGGCAGGGCGGGTGGGGAGGACTAGCACGGTAGTGAAGGGCGGGGCCCCTGAGTTGACCCCCGAACCACAATTAGGGGGTTAGGTGAGTAACCCTACTCAAAACACACACACACACACACCAAAAACACAAAACACACACACACAACCACACAACACACACCACCACAACACACACAACACACACAAACCAATAAAGGATCCTTGGGCAAGAAAAATGGATCCCAGGTTACAAACCCATAAGATGTGAAAGAGTGAACAGGCAAAAGGGGGGGGGGGGTTGCCTGTACTTGCGGTAATTGTTTGCACAGAACGCTAAATGCCAAAAGAGTAGTGGAAGTTTTGGTAAAGGTCGGAACCAAAAAATAGGCATTGTTTTTAAATCTACAAGCCTCGGATGCAAAAACCCCGCAATTCCAGGAAAAGCTGTTAAAAAAATGCCACGTTGGGGAAAACCTTTCCCGCTCCTGCACCCAACTCTTGCTCTGGGGGATTTAAAAATTTAAAGGGACCCAAAATGGGGAATATAGAAATAATATTGTGGTAATAAACCAGGAGGCAGCTTGATGAAAACTCAACTCATGCGGCTTTTAAAATCTCTGCAAAAATTCAATTTAAACCAGCAAATAATGAGCCCACTAGACGGAGAAACATTAGACCCATCTTTCACTAAAAATGATGATTGATAAGAAGACCCCTATCAAAAACAATTATCAGTTTACAAAAAAATTGAGGGTTTTCATGTATGCGCCCGGGGCC